AGTATGTGAAAACGTATTCCCAAATGATAAGATTTTCTTCTGCTTAATAATTTTCAGTACGATGATGCCATGGACAAACCATTGGCTAAACGTACTCTCTTATAGATAAGGAAATTCGGTTACGCTTGAATACGTTTCCTAATTGGTTTGTTCTTGTCTAGTTCTTAATTTATTGGTTAATTTACTAACTTTAAAATTTCTACGATTATTAGCACGAGACTTTTGTTTCGACTGCTCACGAACTATCTAAAGAAAAACTCTCACAATATAAACGCGCGATAAAGAGAATCGTTTACACATTTGAGGACGTAGGTATTGCTATTCATGAATCACATCAAAATATACTTCACAATTTACAATAGGATTAGGGTTATACTAACAGCACTCAAAGTCAAAATAGAAATGTTCTCTTCCGTAAACTGTTTATTCTTTAGACAACTTTTATGTTCGTGTGTGAGTTTTTATGCGTGGATGTTTGGCAACGCCAGAGAGTGAGCTATCTGTTACGTAATTTGTATATCAATATTTAGCAACCCCAAACATTTGCTAACTACTGCTAATCATTTGTTGCTCTATAATCAACGTGATGACATTCCAAATTGCTAATTCCGCCGAAAAGGTGTTGAATGATTAGCAACATGATCTACTATTAAGTTACATGACACATAGGTAACTTAAGATTCAAATGATGCAATAGTAATGGGAAATTTACTTGGGAAATGTAATATCTCCAACAACCTCTTCTTGTCCACTACTGTCGTCTACAAACGCACTCTTTATTCATTGTAACGGAAGCCACCGCACGGTCGTCACGCCTATTGTAACGACCCCTGGACTGCGGGTGGCGGGCGAAGACCCTGAGTGTCCGGTAACTGGTAAGCTACCGCAGCACCTAACGGACACGGCTGCACGATTTGCATGGTTCTGGTCCTGACAATGCCGCACTGACACACTGAACAGGCGGCATAACTGTATAATGACCGGGTAACGCATCACGCCGCGTGTGTATTGTATCCTGGATTGAACATCTTGGATGTCTGTTGGTCACTTGGATCTGCTGTGGGATTGAGATAAAGTAAAGGATGCTGGAGACTGCGTTTTCTTTAAAAATAGTTAACTGCCGGTCACCGTAAATCAGTGAAGTGATCTCATCACTAATAGCGAAGTGGTGATATGTCAAAAGGCGACTGCATGACTGCAGTGATAAGAGCAATTATTGGCCGATCTCGAAGCAGAAAAGGCTGATTCATTAATTCAACTGCATTTTAATCACATTCATGTGGTTTGTTCCATATATTTGAGGAACGAGACAAACTGAACGTTGTATGTAAGACAGGTTCATTTGGAAAGAAATATAATGCAAACTGAAAATATAATAACATCATCTTTCATTGGTGCACAGTTATGATGAATTTAAATACATTTTTGAATATTCTACAGTATTTAAGTGTAAGTAAAATGTGTGGCTCATTTTCATCTAGAAATGATACGTGCATGTTCAGTACACCTTCAAAAATCACCACCAACATACACACGAGTCACACGACATTGAGCTACACGACTCATTGCTCTAATCAGTGTAATCCTTTGGATTGGCATGACGAGGAAATGCACATGTAGGATGTGGATATAAGGATGAATTCAATGAGTCTGTTACGCCCGGAATGCCTTGTTTGCAATGTTCCAACGTCACCAGTGACCAGGTCCAAGCCGGAGGTGGCATAACCCGGCGGCGGCGGTACAGACCGATACACAACTGGGTGACGTTGAGCAACAGAGAGTCACAGAGACGATGAATAGCCGCTAACTAACCTTAGTGACGTAACTGCACCACGCATCACGCTCACCACTCTACATTGGCTGCATCTCCTACAGCTCGAAACTATGTTGAAACCTTTGAATTGAACCAATTTATATTATCACTCTTTTCATGATCGCCGTGGTTTTTGGATGGAACTTGTGCAGTTTGTTTTGTGCAATGTGTTTCTGTCATGGGATGTTTCAGTTAAAATTTGTGACATTAATTTTTCTCAATCACTCTCATGACTTTTTAGGTCTTTCACAATATTTCTCAAAGTTACTTTTTTCTGATCACTTGTTTCCATTTTTGGCTAGACTGTTATGGTGTCTGCAATTGCTTGCAAAATGTATATAGTTAGTCTGGAGAACACATATGTATCACTCTCATACTTGAATTCACGAACTGAGGTACTGTAACATTTTCAACAAAATGATAGCTTATGATAGTATATTATTGCTTTTACAAAATGACACATCTTTTTGGACAATGTTAATAGTCGACACATTTCGTGCGAAGCCATCAAGTATTTGACAGTGTGACGTAAACTTATTTTGTGTATTCTTGTAAATAGCGTAATGTCAAATAAATATCTACTCATTATAAATTATTTGTATAACCTAATTGATCTAAATAGAAATGTCAGCTTATTGTCAAATTTAAAGATGTTTTCTCTTAAAATTTTGATTGTTTTCCTCGGTCTCGTACACCTTCGATCTGCTGTCACCTGATGTAGCAGTAGTGACAGTAGATCTCCATAATCATTAAACATTTCAAAACGTGTGATAGTGGCTGTAGCATTGTTGGTCCAATCAAGATATAACTGAGTGATGATGAATGAAGTGGAAGGTGAGGGAGAAGGAGAAAGGTGATCTGATTATGATTGACCGCTCCCGCTCACAGATGCGTGTATTGTGTACAGACTGTGTAGGTCTACATGCAAGTGTGTGGGTGTGTGAGTAAATGTCTGTGAGGTTCACAGGGACAATTGCTGTGAAAGCTTCCCTAATGTCCCTGACATCACGGTGCCCTCACTTTCGACACACCCCTCCTTACCCCTACCATCTCTCTGCTCTGCCATTTGTTATGGTTGGGTTCGACATCGAAAGCACTTTCGTTTCTTGATCAACTGATTGATAGTAATGAATTGTTAAGTACCGGTATCTCTGCAGAATGCCTGAGATTCGTTTCGTTTGACGTACTTCTTGAGAGGAATATCGTTCTGTGAACGTTCAATTTCACTTATAAATGAATTTATCTTAGCGGTTCTCTATCAATGTTAGTTTCGAGATTTATTTAGCTTTCCTACGACTTGTCAAATGGTCGAGACACATCGAAAGTTGATTATTCAAGGAAAATATACTATTTTGCTGGTCTTCAATTATAATTTTGAACCAACCTTAATTTTTCCTAATCAATAGATCTTATACGTCTAACTAATTGACTGATATCTGAGTACAGATGATTTCTATTTCTAGACTTGCTCACGAAGTAATTATCTCATGAACGCATCATAAGCAAGTTCATCAGTCCGTAGTCGCGTTCATGTTGCATTTTGTCTAGTCTTACGAGTCAATGTTCGACGATATCAATACGTTGTTATTTTTCACCAGGACGAGTGTTGGCTACCATAACGTGTCTCGTGGCGGAAGTGACGGGCTTGGTCTGTGTTTATGAGGTAATCGAAAGTAAGGGGACGGAAGGCAGTGGCCCCGCTATCACGATGCGATAACATGGTCTTCGGGTGTCTTCACTTCACGTCTTGCACAAATTGAATGTTGCTGTTACAGTCAGGAAGGCATAACACTTAAATTTCTATAGACGGTGACTTCACCTCGCCCTCCGAGAGCCACGTGGCGTTTTAACATCCCACACATGCAGTAATAGGGTTCACTTTCCTAAGTCTTATGCATTTTACCAAGGTTTTTATCAACGTTTGCTTGTCCGTCTTACAACTCCCTAGATTTATCCCTCGTGTGAGTCAGGCCTAAGCTTCTATAAATGATGTCATTTGGATTAGCAAAGGACAACAAAATAAGTTAAGAAGAAAAGAAGTTATCTTGGAGAAAAGAATGTTCTGCCTTTTTTCGACTGTTTTCAGTCCAAACGATTCTTATTCGTTTTACTGTTTATTTCAAAGTTCCAGTGTCTAAATTTACTAATATGGACTTTGCCAACGTTTCCTTGTTGCAACCAACTTTTCACTATCAAATCATTACCGGCTGCGAGCCTGGACGACGCCGGCGCGTGACGCCCACTACAATGGTTCAAAGAGAGAGAACTCATGAATAGACTCGTTCCCTTCCCTTCCCACCGTGCGATATCACTGATCACTCTCACCTCACAATCACATCATCATCACAATGACTACGGCTCCGCTCAGCTGATTCCATTGTCGCGTCCGCCACAACTGCCGAGTGCCGCCAATCGCTGCAATCTTCCGATCACGATCACATGCTTTCTTGCGCCGCGTCATCGCGTCAGCAGTCAGCAGCCATCACGCCCGGGCAAGAAGTTTTGTTTCAGCAGTTTCTATGATTTTGCCGAGGTCGCTACTAAGCCGGCTGGAACGCGGACGGTGATTATTGGGAGAAACTGTGCCGAACTGTTTACAACCGATTAACCGACTATTGGGACCAAAGCTATTACCGAAATAGACACAATTTTACTCGTTGTAAAAAAAATATTATTATTAGCAAGATAAATTATTACACATTGGTCTTGAAGATTTTGACCATTGATGTTGGGTGAAGTAAGCCTACTCTTAATAGGCTAAATGATTGTCAAGGAGAAATTTGTAGACTGAGCTTTGTCTACTATTAATACAACAACTCAGATCTTATGTTTTCAGTGTTAAATGCTAATACTTCTGTGCAGCATACGGTAATTAATATTGTTTCTAGGTGGATTGGTTCCAGGCATCTGCCAACGCATGGCCTATAGTTCTAAAACTAAATGCCCATAGAGTTTTTACGACCAATCCACAAATTCTTTTTCACTTTGGGCTGAGGGCTGAATAGTTGTTTGTCTTGTCAGACGGTTACTTTAATGACCAACTAATTCTTCTATGGTTCTATGGTGAGATCCAGGCATTGCTCTAAAAGGCATAACTCTGGAAGACATTGCTGGTCATCTTTAGCTATATTTATCTTATGTCTTTCCAGAAATGCTGTGAGTTCAACTGTGGTTTGTGTTGTTTCAGGAGACGGTTAGCAAGTCCAACCACAGCACCTGCAGTGATGGCTCCCTACTCAGCATGGGCAGCTCGGAGATGGACGAGGTAAGCTGGACAGTTATAGCACAACTTCAAACATTGGGGTAGAAGAAACGGAATAAAGTCAATAATTGGAAATCCTGTCATGTCAATTGTTTACAGTAGTTATTTCTGAATTGACTGCCACCAAAATCTACTTTGTGTTTAGGATATTGCAAATAGATTTATTTTCTTCTTGTTAGATATAAAGCATGTTTTGGCGTGTGTTCTTTTTAGTAACATTTTGTAGAGCTTAAAGAAGCAAATATTCTAGTACTCTGAAGTCATTTTGCACAACTATTGGTTAAGGAGAAAATTCAAAAACATTTAATATGCAATTCTTATGGTGTTCCCATGGATAAGTAAACTGTTGTAGTTTGCTGGTTTGAATATATTAATCTAATTTGGCAAATGTATATACTTTATACTAACTAAGGTACTGTATTAACATTTTACTTCAAAATCTCAATTACTTTCCCTGTAGCAGCAAAAGTATGTTCTCGTTAATCCAATTAGGCAAAACAATTTTTGCCAAGTCTTCAGGTTTGCTGCAGCGTGGGTATTATTATTATTCCTATAATATCAATGCTGTACTCACCTTTGAAAGATGACTTCTCAATTTCCAAAACATAGGAGTATTTTTTTTTTTAGAAATATGATTTTTACTCACAGTTAACTTATTGTAAAATAAAGATTTTGTTCAGCTCTCGGGTAAAATTTGTTGTAGGGCAGGATAGTTAAATCAATACTTGAGATTTGAGATTTCTTTTTTTTTATCAAACTACATTTTCTAAACAATTTTTTTTCTTCCCAAAGATCTGAATCATCAATTAACATTTTGCACAACAAACAGGAGTTTTCAAAAAGATTTGTTTCACATTACAGTGTTTTGTATGCATGTAACATCATATATTTTATGGTTTGAAATGAATGAAGCCAACATAGTCTAGATCCTGTTACAAGGACTGGTCCATTGTCATGTCATCCACACATATGTCTCCCCTGGTGTTAGTAATGATATATCGTGCAGCACCATGTCTGAAGCTTTAGTCATGGCTCTTCACAAGTGACATGCAAATTGAAAGTACAGTAATCTAGTGAAATTTATTCATGCTTTGTTTACTACACTTAGTGTTTCCCAAAACACAACAAAATATGCTTGTTGTCATGTTGTAGTTGCTTTAGTAAATAAAAAACTGTTGATTGTGCTATTAAATTAACCACTTGTACAAGATAATTTCTGCATATAATGAAAAATACAATTTAACCTCTTTACAATAATTATTATAAAGAATTGCCAAATTCGGTAATACCAACCGAACACACCCAACTGAATAGTGTATCTAGTATTGAATAGTGTATCTGCATCCACTAATATCCAGTACTGTACGCTTAACATGAGTTTTACATGGGCAATCAAAGTTTTTGGTTAATTACTAGAAAACTACCAAAGATAGACGGTAGGTTTAAATTTTAAAGTTGTTTGTTTTTGCATGACTTTGAAAATAATATGCCATTTGACATATGTTGCAATTTAAAAATTTTTATTTTTAGAAGGCTACCAACATTAAAAAATCATTGAACAAATATTTAATTTTTAAAATGTTGACATGTTGCATATAAAATTAAAGCTGAACTCACGAGAATTAAGAATTTTCAAACAGAACGAAAATAAGTTTAGTGGTTTCTAAGATATAGGGTATTCTGTAAATAACAATATTTTCCGTACAAATGGCCGCCGTTTTAAAACGAATTAAGATAAAGGAGTTCTGTTTTTACTAAATTCTTTGTCTAGTCTAGAGCTTTAAATTGATGCATGATATATGTATACATTTGAAAAATCTGAGATTCAATCCCATGACCCCCAGTTTCACAAACACCCTGTAATTTAAAAATGGTAAAAATAATTTTACGTTGTTCCTTGGGTATGAATTAGTGGGGAAAAGTTTTGTTTCATCTCTGTATGTCAAGCCGATTGTCTGTAATCTGTTTAGTACAGCTTAGAAGACTCACCATGTAAAGGAACTCTGGGTAGGTAGATGAAGATATCGTGATGATAGAATAATTAATTCAGATCAGATTAATGCAGCACCACTAGTAGACGAGGATAAAAGAATGCAATTATAGTGACTAGCTACTCTACAGTAGCTGTACTCTCACTGCATACCTTCCCCACCTGCTAGTGGCTCGTTATCACTACATCTGATGTAATGCTGTAACAGCCAATGTTGAATTTAATAAATATTATATCTAAAACCATGTTCACTAACTAATTTAAACATTAGGTAGGTTTTGAACTTGAACTCCTACTGAAGTATTAAAAATTTTTTTCTGTACGACAAATTTATGGTTATAGATGGTTTTTAATAAATCAAATGGTGTTTTTCAGGATTCATACGGTCAAAGTTCAGGACATGGTTCCAAGATTTCGCTGCATGAGAAAAAATCAGGTAAATATAATGAATTAAGGGGTTTTCATCCAAATGCATAATAAAATAAGAAATATCTAAATGTAAAATTTTTTGTTTTATTTTTTTTTTTTTGGTTTACAAAAGAAAAAAGAAATTTAAACTTTCCTACAAATTTAAAAAAAAGTTCATAAGTGTTAAAGGTTAAATTAAACTCGGCTTGAAAACACTGTTAAAATATATTAAGCCTTTTTAATCAATTTCACCAATAAAAAAATATTAAACTCCTTTAAAAGCTTATTTCAACATTTGCTTCGTTATCTCGTATTAAAGCAATTTTAATCTTGATTAAAACACATAATTAAAATGTTTTCATACCAAATTTATCTCGAACTGTTTCAAAATTATAATAAAACAATTTTAAACTAGTGTTTGATATTTTATGCTTTTTATTTTTCCGACAGTACGGTGAAATCTATATTTCTTCAGTTGCTAAGAAATCAAATTTATTCTTTCTGTCAAAATTTACTGTATAACTTTACAAAACAGTAAATCCTGTTTGTCCGTCCAATCAAGTGATCATGTCCGTCCAGACAACAGGTTAGCTGTTATTGCATTGGAATAATTGATTACTGTAATAATTGTCCCTAATCTGTCCCTGAAGAACAACAAGGCTCCTGGACCGGATGGGGTACCTGGTGAGGCCCTGAAGAAAGTCTTTTCAATAAATCCACAAATCCTTTTGAGCACGTACAATGCCTGTCTGGCCGAGGGGAAGTTTCCCTTCTGCTGGAAAACAGCTAGGCTTGTGCTCGTGGGAAAGGGAAAAGGAAACCCAGACCTACCCTCCTCTTACAGACCTCTCTGTATGTTGGACACTGCTGGGAAAGTCTTGGAAAAGTTGATCCGTTCCCGACTGAATTCAGCCGTGGTTGCTGCAGGGAATCTATCCCCTCGTCAGTACGGCTTCAGGAAGGGACGGTCAACGGTTGACGCTATTGAGGAGGTAAAGCGAGCCGTAATGAGAGCTGAGGAGTTTAACAACTATTCTCGTCGGGTTGTGCTGCTTGTAACACTTGATGTGCGAAACACATTTAATTCCGCGAGGTGGTGCGATATGCTCGACGCACTGGAGAACACTTTCCACGTCCCGGCATACCTCATGCGCAGGATAGAGGACTACCTCCGGTACCGCCTCATCATTTACGACACTACAGAAGGCTCCAGGACGATGGATGTAACTTCTGGTGCTGCTCAAGGATCCATACTGGGCCCGGACCTCTGGAACGTCGCCTACGACAGCCTCTTGAGATCCGAGATGCCTGAGGAAACTGTCCTAGTTAGGTATGCAGATGACGTTGCGGCTTTAATAGCTGCACGTAGCATTGAGCTTGCCCAGCTGAAACTAAATCGAGTCATGCGAACCATTAACGCATGGATGGCAGAACATGGTCTCTCGCTCGCTCTGAGCAAAACTGAGATTGTGATTCTGACTAAAAAGAGGATTGACACCATCGTGCCTTTGATGGTGGGGAACGTTGAAGTCCAAACCACTCGTGCCGCAAAGTACCTTGGGGTCATGGTGGACAGCAAGCTCAGCTGGCGAGACCAGATCACCCGTACGGCGGACAAGGCCGCTAAAATGGTTTCTTCCCTTAGTCGGTTAATGGCCAATGTCGGAGGTCCACGGTCCAGCCGCAGAAGGCTGTTGATGTCTGCGGTCCAGTCCGTGCTCCTGTACGGTGCGGAAGTCTGGGCAGACGCTCTCAATAAGGAGGTATATAGGATGCGGCTCGCCCGAGTGCAGCGTCAGGCAGCACTAAGGGTAGCATCTGCCTATCGAACAGTGTCCGAACCCGCCGTCCTGGTGGTTGCTGGAGTCATACCCGTCAAACTTTTGGCGGCGGAGAGGAAGGCAATTTATCAGCGCCGTGGGGAGGACCAGGCAAATATTGAGGAACGCACCCGGACCTTCCAGCTGTGGCAGGAGAGCTAGGAACAGGAGACAAGGGGGCTCTGGACCAGGCGACTGATACAACAGGTCCAACCTTGGGTTAATCGGCGGTGCGGAGAGGTGAACTTCTACCTCACCCAATTTCTGACGGGTCACGGCTTTTTCCGGTCGTACTTGTTCAGGATGGGCAAAGCCGTGTCACCCAATTGCATATACTGCCCAGGCATTCCCGATGACGTGGAACACACTTTCTTCCACTGCCAGCATTGGGAAAGGCCCCGCCTAGAGGCTCAACAGTTCGTAGGACTGCTGTCGGTGGACACGGTCATACCGATGATGATGGAGGGTGAGGACAATTGGACCTGTGTGTCACTTTACATCCAGGGTGTTCTCCGCGCCAAGAAGCTTGACCTCGACCGGGATGCGGTGTAGGTCAAAAAATAAATAATGCCAGAAACGGTGCGAGCCCTGTGGGCTTAGGTCACATGTTGGCCTGACTTGAAGTAATGTGACAAACAATTCCAGGTCTGTGTCCAACAGAGTAGAGGGGGTTTTTTAGTGAGTAGTCTGTGATAAACTCAGGAGTCTCACACTACAGGCTGGCTACCTGTGTGCGTAAAAGCATTTTCCCTCCTCACCCTAAAAAAAAAAAAAAAAAAAAAAAACTGTAATAATTGTATTACTGGGAGAAAATAAATATTCTTATTCTCATTCTTGTATAGATTTTGTTTAAAGCATTTCAGTCTTTATAGCGTGATATATTTGCATTAAATGTTGTACCTATGATAGTCGGAAAGGTATCGTTCATTTACCCTATAAAATTTATGAAACAATTTTAAAACCCTACATTTTTCTAAAAATTACTCAAACAATTTTGAATTTTTAAGTTGTATTGTTAAAAAACTTTGTCACTCAAAAAATGACCACGATGGTAATTTGATAAGCACCCTCCAACATGGTTAAATCCACCCCCCTATATGGCAAAAGTTATCATCACTCAGTATAAAAAAAATAGCTCATTTCTCTAAAGCTAAGTTTTTGGAAATCAATGATTTCCAATCTGTCAAAACATATGATTTTGCCTGTCCCAAATATTACTTTTCTTGTCCCAAACAATCAAAGTTCTTGTTTAGCTCAACATCAGCATTAATGTTTGTACTATTTTGTTACAAGAAATATTGTTTAAACCGCTTACTTTTAAATAAATTGTAAAACAATACTGTGACAACTGTAAAAAAGAAGTGTTAGTCTTTGAAGTTATCTTATATATTAAAAAAATTTGGTTTTCCTTTTCCGAGTTCGTTTGGCTCTTCTACCCGACCGATTTTCATGGTTGAGGTCTCAAATTGAAGGTATGCACGCACAGATTTGCCATCAAGCATCGGCATATATTTATCTGTAATCCCACTCGGCTTATATGTAAACAAAATTTGCTCCCCATGTATTTTTGTGATACTGTTGCAAAACGGCCAATGTCGGCTCACGGCCGACACGAGAGTCGTCGTAAGGGTTAAGAAAATGCAGTTTACATAAATATGAAAATATGTTTATTAATGTTTAAGCTGTGATATATTTTTACAAGAGTGTAATTGCAAAACAGAGATTTTGTTGTTTTATTTTCAACTTGGAGGGTGCATATGTTATTTCTTGCTCGTCTCTGTTGAAGTTTGTTCATTAATGATTCTTTTGTATACCCTTGGTGAACATTTGTTAAATGATTATTCGTCAGACATTTATAGTTTTAAAACAAGATTTAAATGTTCTATAGACTTTATAACAGTTCACTGACAACTTAAGAACACCAAGTCAGAAGATCAGTAGAGTGTTTATACTAACCTTACTTTATGATTCAGACTCGACGGAGGTGGAGGTGACGTCTGCACCACTCAGTCACTCGGCTGCGCGACACAAAATGTCTGTCAAGCCCAAGCGAAACCACGGCGTACCAAGGAAACGGCGCTCAACTCAGGTACCAGCACTTACACTTGGAACTTCTACTTTTTACTTGGTAGCTATTGTGTACTAAAACCTGAACTCTAAATTTAATACTAATTTTATGACTCATCATTTTGATTCTGCATTACTAACAATGGTAAAAGAAAAAAGTGGCTTACCATCATATTAAATTTTTTGTTGCAATGCTATAAGCAGTGCTTCTCTGGTGTATTTGTGCAGACCATATACTTATCATCTAGACAGAGCTGGGAAAGGTCACCAACTTCAACTTGGAACTTCACAATGACTAGTTGATGATGCCATCTTTGTGGTCGAACATGTCCCAGCCTCAAAGACATTTATACGTCTACATTTTACACCAACACTACGTATACTAAAGGTGTTAAAGGTAGTACTACCTGTACTAACTGCTGCCCTCTACACCCGAGGCGGAGGAGGAGTTACCTCCGATGTCACAGGTGTCCACAGTACGAAGTGTCACCCCTGATCCTTACTTGTCCCTGCTGCCTGACTCATTATGTTGTTGTTGTGTTGGTACAGGTGGGGGAGGTAACGTTGCTACCCTCTACACCCAAGGTGGAGGAGGAGTCACCTCCTATGTCACAGGTGTCCACAGTACGAAGTGTCACCCCTGATCCTTACTTGTCCCTGCTGCCTGACTCATTATGTTGTTGTTGTGTTGGTACAGCTGGGGGAGGTAACGTTGCTACCCTCTACACCCAAGGTGGAGGAGGAGTTACCTCCTATGTCACAGGTGTCCACAGTACGAAGTGTCACCCCTGATCCTTACTTGTCCCTGCTGCCTGACTCATTATGTTGTTGTTGTGTTGGTACAGGTGGGGGAGGTAACGTTGCTGCCCTCTACACCCAAGGTGGAGGAGGAGTCACCTCCTATGTCACAGGTGTCCACAGTACGAAGTGTCACCCCTGATCCTTACTTGTCCCTGCTGCCTGACTCATTATGTTGTTGTTGTGTTGGTACAGGTGGGGGAGGTAACGTTGCTACCCTCTACACCCAAGGTGGAGGAGGAGTTACCTCCGATGTCACAGGTGTCCACAGTACGAAGTGTCACCCCTGATCCTTACTTGTCCCTGCTGCCTGACTCATTATGTTGTTGTTGTGTTGGTACAGCTGGGGGAGGTAACGTTGCTGCCCTCTACACCCAAGGTGGAGGAGGAGTTACCTCCTATGTCACAGGTGTCCACAGTACGAAGTGTCACCCCTGATCCTTACTTGTCCCTGCTGCCTGACTCATTATGTTGTTGTTGTGTTGGTACAGGTGGGGGAGGTAACGTTGCTGCCCTCTACACCCAAGGTGGAGGAGGAGTCACCTCCTATGTCACAGGTGTCCACAGTACGAAGTGTCACCCCTGATCCTTTCTTGTCCCTGCTGCCTGACTCATTATGTTGTTGTTGTGTTGGTACAGGTGGGGGAGGTAACGTTGCTGCCCTCTACACCCAAGGTGGAGGAGGAGTCACCTCCTATGTCACAGGTGTCCACAGTACGAAGTGTCACCCCTGATCCTTTCTTGTCCCTGCTGCCTGACTCATTATGTTGTTGTTGTGTTGGTACAGCTGGGGGAGGTAACGTTGCTGCCCTCTACACCCAAGGTGGAGGAGGAGTCACCTCCTATGTCACAGGTGTCCACAGTACGAAGTGTCACCCCTGATCCTGACTTGTCACTAATGCCTGACTCATTATGTTGTTGTTGTGTTGGTACAGCTGGGGGAGGTAACGTTGCTGCCCTCTACACCCAAGGTGGAGGAGGAGTCACCTCCTATGTCACAGGTGTCCACAGTACGAAGTGTCACCCCTGATCCTTACTTGTCCCTGCTGCCTGACTCATTATGTTGTTGTTGTGTTGGTACAGCTGGGGGAGGTAACGTTGCTACCCTCTACACCCAAGGTGGAGGAGGAGTTACCTCCTATGTCACAGGTGTCCACAGTACGAAGTGTCACCCCTGATCCTTACTTGTCCCTGCTGCCTGACTCATTATGTTGTTGTTGTGTTGGTACAGCTGGGGGAGGTAACGTTGCTGCCCTCTACACCCAAGGTGGAGGAGGAGTTACCTCCTATGTCACAGGTGTCCACAGTACGAAGTGTCACCCCTGATCCTTACTTGTCCCTGCTGCCTGACTCATTATGTTGTTGTTGTGTTGGTACAGGTGGGGGAGGTAACGTTGCTGCCCTCTACACCCAAGGTGGAGGAGGAGTCACCTCCTATGTCACAGGTGTCCACAGTACGAAGTGTCACCCCTGATCCTTTCTTGTCCCTGCTGCCTGACTCATTATGTTGTTGTTGTGTTGGTACAGGTGGGGGAGGTAACGTTGCTGCCCTCTACACCCAAGGTGGAGGAGGAGTCACCTCCTATGTCACAGGTGTCCACAGTACGAAGTGTCACCCCTGATCCTTTCTTGTCCCTGCTGCCTGACTCATTATGTTGTTGTTGTGTTGGTACAGGTGGGGGAGGTAACGTTGCTGCCCTCTACACCCGAGGTGGAGGAGGAGTCACCTCCGATGTCACAGGTGTCCACAGTACGAAGTGTCACCCCTGATCCTGACTTGTCCCTGCTGCCTGACTCATTATGTTGTTGTTGTGTTGGTACAGCTGGGGGAGGTAACGTTGCTGCCCTCTACACCCGAGGTGGAGGAGGAGTCACCTCCGATGTCACAGGTGTCCACAGTACGAAGTGTCACCCCTGATCCTTACTTGTCCCTGCTGCCTGACTCATTATGTTGTTGTTGTGTTGGTACAGCTGGGGGAGGTAACGTTGCTACCCTCTACACCCGAGGTGGTGGAAGAGTCACCTCCGATGTCACAGGTGTCCACCGTACGAAGTGTCACCCCTGATCCTGACTTGTCACTAATGCCTGACTCATTATGTTGTTGTTGTGTTGGTACAGCTGGGGGAGGTAACGTTGCTGCCCTCTACACCCGAGGTGGTGGAAGAGTCACCTCCGATGTCACAGGTGTCCACCGTACGAAGTGTCACCCCTGATCCTGACTTGTCACTAATGCCTGACTCATTATGTTGTTGTTGTGTTGGTACAGCTGGGGGAGGTAACGTTGCTGCCCTCTACACCCGAGGTGGTGGAAGAGTCACCTCCGATGTCACAGGTGTCCACCTTACGAAGTGTCACCCCTGATCCTGACTTGTCACTAATGCCTGACTCATTATGTTGTTGTTGTGTTGGTACAGCTGGGGGAGGTAACGTTGCTGCCCTCTACACCCGAGGTGGTGGAAGAGTCACCTCCGATGTCACAGGTGTCCACCGTACGAAGTGTCACCCCTGATCCTGACTTGTCACTAATGCCTGACTCATTATGTTGTTGTTGTGTTGGTACAGCTGGGGGAGGTAACGTTGCTGCCCTCTACACCCGAGGTGGTGGAAGAGTCACCTCCGATGTCACAGGTGTCCACAGTACGAAGTGTCACCCCTGATCCTGACTTGTCACTAATGCCTGACTCATTATGTTGTTGTTGTGTTGGTACAGCTGGGGGAGGTAACGTCGCTGCCCTCTACACCCGAGGTGGTGGAAGAGTCACCTCCGATGTCACAGGTGTCCACCGTACGAAGTGTCACCCCTGATCCTGACTTGTCACTAATGCCTGACTCATTATGTTGTTGTTGTGTTGGTACAGCTGGGGGAGGTAACGTTGCTGCCCTCTACACCCGAGGTGGTGGAAGAGTCACCTCCGATGTCACAGGTGTCCACAGTACGAAGTGTCACCCCTGATCCTGACTTGTCCCTGCTGCCTGACTCAGGTAAGAATAACCAAACGACCTTTCACATTGTTTCTCGCTTATACAAGGTTTATGTCATTGTAAACTATGAAATTAAAAATTTTTTTATGATCTATGCCTTTTTTGAATTATTTCTCAAGAGTAAGTTACTAATGGTGGATCGAAAATGTTAGAATTACACTCCATAAAAGCTGTAGACCTGAAAATCTTTACGCTTTTACACAATAGCAATTAATAAACATTTAACCCTTCAAGGTAAGATATTCTAAAACCTGCTGGACCCTGCAGTACATTTTTTCCAAATTGCGCCTAACCGTTTACCTCTTTGCCCTTCGATGTTCGGCATAAATTTTGGTAATATTCCAAGTCCAAATAGTTCCTGATTGGTAGTCAGCTCAGATGCAACCAAGAAACCGGTCTGCGTCACGACTCTAAAGCGTTAGTAGTATCTTTCAAAATCCCCTTAGGATGAATAAAACTCAAATATTTTTTAGTTAAAATGCTAACTCTCATAGAGTCTAGAGCCTGCCTTTGTTTCACAGCTTTGCTTAGCTTTTGCTTACAATGCTTGTCAAAATGTATGTGAAAATTGTTGCATTTAACTGTGTCTAATTTGGTCTAAAGCCAAATTCTTTGATAAGGAAAGAAGATGTTAAATATATTTGAACCAAATCTAGCTACGAGGTTACTTGCTCCATTAACTGAATTATTTTCTTGTCCCTTTACCTATGATTTTGCAGTCGGTTTTATTTTAGTGTAACATGAGCTTCCAATTTTCTGTACTATCTTCCCTTTACCTATGATTTTGCAGTCGGTTTTATTTCCAAATAAAACCGACTCAGATAAAATTACTGACTGGTAAAAAACTGACTGGGATAAAATTACTGTTTGACTCGGATAAAATATTTTTTGTTTTCATGGGCAAATACCATAAATTCTACACAAGTGTAAAATTATTGAACTGAGGATTTTATAAATAAGTTGTCAGATTTTAGTATTAAAATTTTAAAATATAGACCACCATTATGTAGGTATTGAATGCTGCATTTCAAAATGATATTCATTGAGCACTGACAATAGCCAGTGAATGGTATATGTTTTTGCATTATTTCAGAACTGCATTCCAACCACACGTTAATGGCACACAAAAAATTGATTCTCTACCATGTTATACTGTAGCACTAAAAAAATATCATTCATCCGATTAATTTTCCATGTAAAATATATATTAAATATTTAATAAGTTCACGAAGCATTTTACTTACTTCAAATATCCTCTTTGTGTTATGACCGTTGAGGATTATTGGTTCAGCTTTGTGTTTGTGTATGTGTATGTGCATGACTGATGCGCATGGCCTGTTGCAGGCACAGCCACTGCCTCTCCATCAACACAGCTCAAGTCAGCCTCTCTGCCACTCGGAGCAGCACCTGCCTGGGACACGAGCGCCGTCAAACTGTCTCGCAGCAAGTCCAGTGCTACCAACAAACAACTCGACTCCACCACTGAACAGGACGAACCGGAGTCTCTGAAGAAAGAGGATACGACGTTCTTCGGACGACTGCTCTCACGGCGCAGTGGCAAGAAGAAGAAGACTGTTGAGGAGCCTCCGTTGGACCTGCCGCAAAAACGGATGGACGAGAAGGGACGATATGTACACGAGGTGACAAAACTGGGACGTCATCATCCGGCATCCCGACAAAGAGTGGAACCCATCAACATATCTCAGGATCGGTCTGTCTCCAGAATGAGGGTGTTTTATCCTCCGTCACCACCTCCTCCTGATTCTCCTCCCAAGAGACGCAAGGAGGAAACATTTGATGACGAAAGCATTCTAGAAGGAAGATCTCTGAAAAAGATCATTCCGTTAGAAGTGGATTCATCTATTCCTAAACGAACTTTTGTCAAAAAGTCACAGAGCTTCAGGAGAGATGAAGCTCTTCCTTTTGTGTCTCTCGATACGCCCAGTTTGCCAATCGGACTCGGGGCAGAGCTTCAGAAGGACGAGGTAGAAGTAGAAGATCTCAATGAGTTAACTACTATGGAAGTTGTGGACCATCATTTGACTAAAGACAGGGTTGAAACTGAGGAGAAAGAAGTCACTACAACGGTGAAAGTGACTAGTTCTGAGGAGACAGACTCTTGTGACGTCACAGTGACAACTAAAGATACATCTAATGAAACATTAGAGCTGAACTTCAAAAAGAGTTCATCATTAAATAGCATCAACGGTTGTGATATGGTACCAGCAAGGAGAAAGTCTGCATCTTCAGAAAGTGTTAATCATCAAATGACAATACCAGTTGGCTCTAGTGTTGTAAATATCACTCAAACCATAAATGAGCCCTGCAGTGAAAGCCCACCACCTCCAAATGTAAAACCTGAACCTCGTAGGAGTTTGATAGATGGAAATAAAGATGTTCCTAATTTTTACCCTGTACCTGCTCCTCGACTTTCCAAACGAGAAAGTTTGGAATCAAAACCTCCAAGAGTGCCAGAATTTTTACGAGTCCAGTTGAACCATGTTGACAGGGAGCCTTCTGTCAATGTAGTTTTGTCCACATCTCCAGGCTCAGTTCTAGATGAAAAAACACAAGATGAAAAAACACAAGATGAAAAACCTGATGAACAAGATGATTTTGAACAGGACTCTCTTCAGTTGGATGATAGTTTGTCTGAAAATGTGAAGAAGCCTTCTAGACCAGAAAGTTTGAGTATCAGCGTTGAAGTCGACAAGAACGATAAATTGGAAAGTACCTTTAAGAAGGTTGATGTAGTCACAACAAAAGAGCCTACAGATCCTAACCAAGTTAGATTCATTCACAATGTCAAACAGTGGTCTGCTCCTCCTTATTTGGTATCAAATCCCAACTACTCTATTGTTTCAATAGCTCCGAGAAACATTGAGTCTAAAAAGTCACCAGAAAAACCAAATATACTGACTCAACAGAGTATTCAGAAAACAGTAATAATTAAAGAAGTAAAAGAAAAGTCTCCTCCAGTGGTTGATAAAAGCCAAGACTTACCACCCATAAAGCCTGTTTTAAGGCAAAGATCTTTTGTAAGTGAGGAGAAACCAGCCAACATTTTGAACTGTGAGAAACCTGCCAAGACTGAAGATGCTAAGTTTGTCCTCCGTAAGAAATCCCTGCCAAAAGAAGTATTTGTCTCAGAATTTGATAAATCAAGGAAATTAAGTTTAGAAAGACTTGATTCTCGAAACATTGAAAACATGAGTGATTTCAGCAAGAGAAAATCACGAGAAATGTCTAGCAGTGAAGACAACATCGTAGATCGTAACTCCTATGGCAGTTCTGACACTCTAGCTTCGCAAGACAGTGGTGATGTTGTTCTTAGGCGGAAATCATTGTCTCGAGACATAATCAAACAGAAAGAAGAAGAGCCAGAATTACTAAAAGTATTTGCAAGGAGGTCTCTTAAAGTCAAAGACTGTGACATTCCTGATGATATCGACCCAGTAACATTTCAACCGTTGAAGTCTAGAGATAGTGATAAGGAAAATGAGTGTGGCGATTCACCTCCTGAGGAGCGGAAAAAGATGAAAGACCATCTTGCAGACTCTAAAGTTTCTGAAAAGACTGTTCCTAGTGTAACTATTAAATACCAAAGGAGTGCAAGTATGCATAATGAAGAAACTCACACTCCGACAGTTTTAGCTACTTCCAAGAAAGACAACAATGCCTTTGAGAAACGGCAAAGAAGTCGAACGATACCTGATCCAAAAATAATCGATCCTCCTACAACTATTGTTACCCATAAAGTAATAGCAAATATATTCAAAGAGAAAGAAGTTGAAGTGATCAGTTTGGAAAAATCTGAAGAAAATAACACAGAAAATGAGGAAAACGTTCCAAGATTCAAGAAAATTCAGCAACGCAAAGAAGAATGGGAAAAGAGAGCACAGATGGCCATGAAGAAAACCCATCCGTGATCCTGTTGGGCTAATTCTGCTTTGTATAGGGCTATATATATATCTCCATTTCGTAAATAGCTTTCCTTGTGCACTTTTATACACTTTAAACTGCTGTGAATGATGCTTTCTTATTGCTTCATTTAATGATAAGAGATGTATGTGTATTTTTTATTTTGTTTTCAAACAAAGATTTTACTCTTGGGATAGATTGACGAGGATAAGAACGTTTGTAAATGTTGGATGACTGCAGGGTGGCTCTGTGCCTTATACAACTATTCTTGGTTGAAAAAATACTTAAAATTTAAAGTCTGTTAATTTGGAATACCTTGTTGAAATTTGGTTTTAGAAACCGTAACGAGTGTTTATTTTTCTTTGTATATCTGTATCTAAGAGTAGTTGAGCTGTGTTTTTATTTTAGTGTTTTTGTAAATCAGCCTAAGTAATATATATTCTTCTACCTAATATAGTTTGTGTACAAAAGTATTTTCTACAAGTATGCATTTTTACAACATCAAAATATGAGCATTTATAGCTATTCAATTTATTTTTATAAATATTTTTATCTAAATATAGTAGTTCCTTGACTTATACTACATTTTAATTAAGTCATTTTAAATATCCAATTAACTACATTACATTATTTCTTGATAATTGTTCAACAGTCAACACAAAAAAAATTACTTGTCATTGTTGTTGTTTGTTTTATTTACAAACTTTAATTTTGCAATAGGGTACTTTTCAAATGCAGTTATGAAAGTGGTGATATTACAAAGTGTTGGTAAATTTTACTGTCCTGAAACCTACATTCTTTCCTGAATATATTTCCATAAATAAGCTAGTTTATATTACTGTATTAATTTTTTTTTCTGAAAGTCTCAGTGATAAAGTTTGTGATTTGCGAGTTCCAAAGCCACTAGAGTCAGGTTGGTTGTCAGAAACTGTGATTGTTCCGAATGCCTTGGTATAACAACTGATATTTACCATAATACAGTTTACTCTTACAAGAGATATATTTTACTCTAAAAGAAGTCCAATCTAGTATACATAATATTTTCTATGTACATAAGTGTTATTAAAATTAAATATGTATGTATGTTGAATTTTGTATGTTTAACCGATGTTAGTTATTCATGACAATATTATGTGTGATTTCAACTTTGCTTGAATAAATTGTATATTTTATTGTGTTCTTGATATGTATATTAGACGATTACGTAATATAGATATTTTCAATACAGTTTTCCTGTCTTTGCTTTTTTTTATTCCTGCAACAAAAGTATGCTATGCTTTGGATGGTCAAACCACTGAAGGTATATACTATAAATACCATTGTATTTAATTTGCCATCCCAGTTCACATGTCACCCAACTGATTCAACTATATTATGAAATTGAGGTTCTATTGGTATAAGAACCTTAAACATAACATTGACATTTGATACTGAATAATAATGCTGAATAAAAATCCCATCCACATGGACGAACTAAAGCCAGTTTTATACTCCAGGAGAACCTTTTGAGTTATTATCTTCCATTGAACTTTTACTGTTAAGGTATTTTATATATTTTACTCTTTATCACCATTGTTATTGTGGATGGAAACAAAAAGGTATTTTAGTTTACAACTAATTGCCCTTTCAGTTCAAAGAAGCTAATAAACACAATATAAAAAAGCAAACAATAAATATTAGGATTATAATTAGTTTTTTTTATAAAAATACATTGCCTAAACTAAACCATCCATGTGAAATGTAAAATCAGACAGGGCTAGTAGGAATGGCATATAATACAAGAAAGATAATTCATACTTTCTCCCACTTTAAATTGTAAATGGAGAAAGTATTGCTTTGTAAAAATTTTCTAGTTTGAGTTTAGTGTTTTATTTTATACGGCTATTAACATAACTTTCAACCAATGTTTTGATACTGTTATAATCAAACTCAGTTAAAAAATGCAATCATATGATTAAAAGGTTACAAGAATTTTTGCGCAAAGGTTCTGAAAAAAACCTTTTCATTCTGATTCTCCATGATTCTTTTGAAAAAAGGTGATTATAAAAAAAGAGTTTTCCAAAGCCATAATTGTTATTAAGGATTTCAGAAATCTTTTTACATCCAGCTATTTTACAGGTGCTCATGTATTGAATTAGTTTTTGGGATGGTAAAATTTAGTTTACTGAACAGCTGCAAATGTCCTGCTGTATGTGACACAAATTCAGCATTTGGATAAAAATGACAAATTTAGTGTTAATGTATCTACCTACGGCCATTTTTTAAACTAGGAATCTGTTTCAGTTCAGTTCTTAAAATTAAAAAGCTTCACTTAACAAGCATCGTTTACTTACTTTACCATTGACTTTACCTATGACCGTTTTTTAAAGTAGTTGTTTCAGTTCAGTTCGAATTGAAAAGTTTCTCATACCTAACAGCATTGTTTACTTTCATCAGCAAAATTTTTCATAATAACACGAATTCATAATGAACACAAATGAGGTTCATGGTTTGAGAAAAATAAGTACAATTGTAATGCTTGAAACTTCAACTAATCAAGTGGTGCAATAATTAGTGCACCCACACACAATAAACTGATGATTGTAACTGATGATGATGGTACAATGATTCCTTCCATTATTGTCAGGGCAATGATAGAGGCTATAAACAAAAACATAACCTCTCTTAGAAGTTATGAGTAGTGATTGGTTAGTAATTAAAAAAACTGCAGTAGGTAAAGTAGTGTACGCTACGCAACCAGACACAACTCGCGTAAATAGTCTTTACGCCACACTTCACTATTTTGACGAACTTCTCACGCAAGGATATGTAGTCCAGAAAACAGCTGTTTGCCGCCAGCTTAATCAAATTGGGTTTCATTACGTACTACTGTACTGTAATGAGTTCTTACAGGACACCAAACAGCTCTGATTATACTATATTTGGCAATTAGTATAAACAAAAACATAACCTCTCTTAGAGGTTATTATGACTAGTGATTGTTATTCCTTTAGTCGGTGGTAATGTACAGGGCTACCATTTTGGATAGAGATGAAATAGCAAACTCTGGTTTTCACCATTCTTTAAGTTTTTGTAAACACTTGAAAATGAGGTGTCACTTAAAGGGGGTTTACATTTAAAATTTTAGAGTTGCCCCAAAAATCTAAAAACATTTAAAAATTAAAATTTCATAAAATAACACTTCCTGCTTAGATTGCACGACCACCAAAAGGGTATTTCTGTATATTTACTTAGAAAAATATTAGAGAGGGGGGTCTTGACTTTTTATTCACCCTGTATAAGGATTTGTAAAGATTTAATAGTATATGGTGTAAAATATCGTACGTCACTCGTTCAAAATGTGTTTACCGGACTTGTATGGTAATCCCGTACTCGACTTTGTCTCGAACAGGAACGACCACACTCGTCGGTAAACACCTAGTTTCAGGAGTAGACTAGTAACGTAATATACTATGACGTGATCGTTGCGTAAACTACTATTACACTATTTGAGTTGCCATACAAAATGGTACGACCATTTACTCAGGGGATGATTATGATTTATAACTATACTCAGGGCCTGATTACCCATTAGGCTAATTAGGCTGGAGCCTAGGGCGCCAGTCAGCCAAGTGTTTTAGGGGGGCGCCAGACAGGTAAGACTTAAAGTTGGGACCGGGGGCGTAAAAATGTTTTATAAAAAAAAGGATTCGTGCAGATAGGGAATGAGGTGGGGAAGGGTGCGTTCGGCATATATATATCCATATATAAAGCCCAAAGTACCCATGAACTTTTGAGAAAACTACAAGTCACACCCCCATAAACCATATATACTTAAAATGTTCATCATGACGAGAAACATTGAGCAAAACTATCCATTATTTCATAAATTGCCCTTTAAGGTCGTAATTCCTTTCTAAAGGGAACTTTTCATATACCTAATGTTAAAAATACCTCAGCTGTACTTATTTGTTTATTTCAGCTTAACTTAACCAATCAATAGTTTTATTTATGAAATCAAACGGGATGAAGCCCGTGGGTTACAGCTAGTTTATAGTAATAATCGATTTGTAAAAACATTTAACGATAGTTTTTGTTGCAGATAAATGCTGTGATTCCATCTAAAGGTCCTAATAAAATTGTTTTAGGCCTAGGTGATTAACAGAGTTAATTTAGAAAGTAGGGGCCTACGTATATTATTGTTTGGGTTTTTGATATTTTAGGTTGGGTCCACTTTTGATTTAATACAATCATATGTTTAATAAAATGTAAAATAAATAGTCTACATTATTTTAAATAAAACTTACATTCCTTGAACAACCGATTAGTTACTATTTTAAAAGTTTGATGAGGGGTAAGTTAGTGGTAGGGAGGAGGGGGGCGCGAAAAAACGTCAGCCTACTGGCGACTAGTAAGAGTCTTCATCACCCTAGGTGTAATTCCGTTTTGGGGGGATAGCCTTGGGGGGGAGGTGGTGTGGACGGGCGGGTAGCGCGGGGTCATTATGCGCGCCTTTCTGAAAACATCGTGTAAACAAACTACTACTAAAGACGCGACTCCGCACCTACGCACGCGCAGCGGCGATCTCATCGATCTTTAGGCCCGTTTTGCCAGAAGCGTCTGGTGCGTCTGACACTCAGCGATGATCGCTAGAGCGATAATCTCTCAGCGTCTATCGCTCGGGTCTATTTTGCCAGAAGCGTCTGTTGCTTGCGATTATTCGATCAGTGAGTGGGAAAATGAGCTGTAAAAGCAATTAGGAAAGTATTTGTTAGCTGAGTAATTAGACGATGAAGAGATATTAGAAATGTTGTGCAAACCTAGGGAAGAAGTGCGTAATATGTTTTAAGAGAACTGAAGAGGGATATTTTAAGTTGTTAATTGAAAATCACCTCCACTCTAATAAGACCAAGTTTCACTAGTTTTGTCTAATTTTTCACTAGTTTTTAAGTTTTTTTTAAATCTTCTTCACTATTGAATCCCCACTTTGATTGTGAGATGTCATTAAACTTGTAAACACGACTTATTTTAGGAATCAAAGTTATATCAACAACTAAACACGTGCTTATTCCTGTAATAATCGCTAGCGACTGCGTCTCCGTCTGCTCCAGGAGCAGTGGTCCGCGTCAGACGCTAGCGTCTCAGTTACAGACGCTGGCGGCTGTAGCGATAGACGCTTCTGGCAAAATAGACTAACCTAAAACAATGCAAAGCAGTGGGCAGCGATAGACGCGGAGCGATAATCGCTGAGCGATAGACGCACGAGACGCTTCTGGCAAAACGGGCCTTTTACTTCACTAGCTGTGAGCGTGAGGAGCCCTTGTGGCGAGCGCAACTAATATTGTTTGTTAATTTAATATCAATAATATGCGTAACATTGTGCCTTAGCATTATGAATATTTACAAAATAAATACAATGACCTTCAAAACAAGCATTAATTCATTTTGTATTAAAGTTTTATTAGGTTCTGACGTTTGGTTTACATTTTACGAATTTTCAAAGTCATGAGATAGGTAGTTTTTAAATCTCAGAAAGTATTAAATTAGAAAGTAAAATTAATTAGTCTTAAAATACCATGAAATTGTGTATTATTAGAATAATTGGAATTGCTCATTCTAGCTTAAAACAGCAATTACTTAAAAGTTTCATTATTTTGGCATGTGCAGTTGTGAATAAGTTGTCAATAATATGTTTATCGTGCGTACATAGCTTAGATCACAATTTCTCTAAAGTAATTAGTTATTATGTCAATAGTGTCAACAGATACAATCAAGATAAATTTCAAAGTATTTTTTTTTATAAAAGACCTAGGTAATAATGAATTATGCACCCATCATGGAAAGATAAATTTAATACAACGTAAGCTCAGAACAAATATAAAATAATAATAGTTTGTATGAGTGTGTTTCAATATAAATGTGTTTAGACTGACAACAAATTTGAACTTTACTATTGACAAATTATGATATGCAACCTCAAACAATGTACAAAATGTAGGTTTAATGGATACATTATTGCCTTTGAATTACAATTTATTTAATTTGTATTTAATAATCAAGTCTATGAGACAATAATTTACATTACATAAGTTAAAACTATTTACAACAAGTACCTATAAAGAAATGTAGGTTTGATTAATGTACGCCTACAGTTTTTAATCCTTCTTCGATTTTATTGTCTTTGGATGCACATAGTTTGCTGGATTCCTAATAGGCATTGATCTGGTGTGCCGTGGATCGATCAGTTCTGG